ATATAGTAAACCCAGTTTTTCAGGAGTGACTCCTCCCAATAAAAATTATTATGCACCAGCTTTCCGGGAGCATCCCATCAAACCCAGCTTATTTTGGGAGGGATTGCCCCCCCCCCAAAAAAAAAAACTGGAATATGAAACAGCTTGCTGGTGGATACTCAAACCAAAGCAAATGTGGAGGAAAACAATCAATATAATACAGCTTTCCAGGAGCAACTCCTCCTGGGATTTCAGTATTGGGAGAGGATCCTCCTGTAAAACAGGCTTATGTAACAGCTCACCAGGAGGGGCTCCTCCTGGCAGGCTGGTATTAAATCCATCTTGTGCTGGGAAGTATAGTCCTTCCCAAAAAACTGAATTTTTAACCAGCTTTTTAATCCTCCTGGAAAGCTGGGATTTATACTTGCTTATTGGGGGAGAATCCCTGCAACAAGCAGTTTTTGATACCAGTTTTTCAGGGGGAGCTCCTGTAATGTTGGCATTAAACACAGCTTGTTGGAAGGAGCTTCTGAAACATTGGGAGTAAACCCAGATCATTGGGATGAGTTCTTGATTAGTTGGTATTAAACCCAGATGAAATCCAGTTTGTTCGGAGGAGCACCTCCTAATTTGGTGTAGGCAGCCTAAACCTCATCAGGAGGGGTTCCTTGCAATGAGCTGGGTTGAATAACAGATTAACAAGAAGGAAACCTATGAAAAAGCTGCTATCTGACACAGTTTTTTTGGGAGGGAATTCTCCCAACAAAATGCATTAAGTAATGGTTTTTCAGGAGGGATTCCCACCAACAATTTGATTTTAAATTCAGATTGTAAGGAGGAGTCCACATTCCCTCCCAGATGGCTGGTTTCAGAACCATCTTTTTGAGATCAATTCGTTCCAATTCAGGGAAGGCTCATGTTTGATTAAGGGGGCATGATAACCCCCTTACGCACGCCAGGTGCGGATTGGTGTGTGCACCTGCACACCAAAGCAAATTGGCGTGCGGGGCCCGCACACCAATCTACAGAGTGTATACCGGCGTGCAGGCCTGCACAGTTCACGTCAAAGATTCCTAAATTCATATGTACACATATGCATTTAGCACCACTGCCATCCCATAGGACCAGA